CTATCATGTGGCAGTAAAGGGTTCGGGCTTTTTCATCAACTAGCAGCAAAAAGAAGAAGATAAGAGATTTTGTAAATTTTCTTGGGCTAAGCAATTATCAGTAGCATTGTACAGAGACAGCAAAGAGCGGCCACAGTAAGAAGCAAAGGGGCCAGGCAGAGGTTAGGGCTGCAGCCGGGCTTCCTAATGCTGCCAGCAGAGCAAAGCATAGCTCATTGTACCTCCTAGTGCTTCTGGTTCAAGCAGTAACCAGGTTGTCATTGCCAGCTTTATGGCCATACCGAGACCTTCTATACCTATAACGGCAGAATTCTTCTCAGGAAATCTCTGGAGAGTTTAATGCTCCTTAGCACAGATGGATCAATCCAAAGCAGTGGACTAATGAATTCAGCTTTAAAAAGTGAGTTTGTGTAGCCATGACATTTTTCATTGCAATTAGCCTATACTGCAAATCCCAAATCTTATGCGCTAGATTCTGCATGTAAAACAGCCAGATGTCCATAGAAAAAGGTTTTGTTCTGTACAAAGATTTTAACTGCAGAGGCAGAAAAGAAAACAATAGTACTGGCAAGTGACCTCCCTGTAAATGTTTCTTCTTTCAAGTTGTATCTTCCAGCAAAGCTCCCTTTTAAGTTTGATGAGCAAATGCTGATTGCACCATGGAGACAGTTACTACAAGTTACCGGGAGTTACCATAAGTGAGGAAGACAAAAGTCTGCAGTATTCAGGGCATGCCTTCCTCTGCTAATCAGAGAAAGCTGCAAGATCAAATAGTTGTTCAATGGGGCAGTTGTTACCGGGTTTTCTTTTTAGCTGAGTTTGATTAAATCATTTGCCCATTTGTTACTAAAGCAGATTACTGTTAATAGGCTTCTTGGTCAACAGCACCTCTTGATAACACTTTAATTAAAATAAATATGTGTCACCTTTACTTTTGGGGGTCTAATATGTGACACTTTGGAACACAGTGTCAGATGCCATTTTCTTCAATTAATTGGTACATAATTATACACAAATGGCTGGGAAGAGTGCAACCTTTTCCTTCACATTGTGCTTATTACTTTGAGCCTCATTCCACTGATAGCACCTAGTATGAAAGTCACACTTTCCCCTACGAGAGGGGAGACTGTGTTGACCTTACAAACCTTTCCTACACCTCAGAATAGCTCTTCCCATTACAAATATTGGCACACATGATTTACATAATTCTCCATCAAAATATTAAGTTACTAATTCCTGACCACATCCTCATCTCAGCAACTGCACCTCATCTACGAGGTCATGCCATCCAGCTGTGCACTTCTGGCTCCAAATGGTGAAGGGTCCACACCAGGCACCAAGGGGACACACATCTGCCCCCAGCTTCTCCACAGAGGACTTAAAGGTGGAAGTGGGCAGGGCTGTTGCAGTCCCAGCTCAGAATGGGACAGTTCTGGCCAGATTGGGCCACATAGTGTACAATGGTCACAGCTGGTTATGCCTGTAAGTTGAGAATACCATCATCATATTAAGTAGGATCAACACAGGTTTGTGATGAAGAAACTAAAAAAATATTAACCCAGAACAAACACAGCCAGGCTCCCTAATCTTTCCTTCCCTAAGAGGTGTAACAGGAACTCTCTGTCGAGCTGGAGCACCTAAGGGGCCAGCATTGCAAGGCACTCAGATACCCAAACTTTAATGTATTTAAACTGACACTACTGCATTTAGGAAAGGGAGTGCTATCTTTCCTATTCTGTATGAAGGGCAGAGACTAGTTCAAAGTCACAAAGGGCTATCTGGGCAAGAGTAGTCAAAGGGGCTGGGCTTCCCATGTCTCAGGCTACCACACGAATCACTGCCTCAGCTTTCCTCTTGGCAATCATAACAAGTGGTCACAATCACTGTTTTAGAACTCAAATCACACATCTTTCCTGTAAAAATACTTGTAATTGCTATCAATGATGGACTGTCTTCTCCGGGCCTATCCACAGAAGGGGGATCATTCTTTCCCCTTTGTACTCGTCATGCTATGCCAAGAATTAATGATCAAAAAAACAGGACGATCGTCTTGCTTCTTTAGTTCTGGCATCCCACTATCATTACAAATATTTTTTCTATGCTGTTGCCATTATACAGGCTCTGTAATGAACTTTTTGTTCATCATAGAGCTAGCTCGTAAGCGGTAAAGATTAGAGCCTTTTCCTTTTCAAAGGAAAAAAGCATAGCATTTAATCTCATCCACATGTAGGTGAATTTATAACTCATGAAATGAGTTACGTGAGCTCACTGAAAGGTACTGATGCACAGAAGTGGTGCAGCAGAATTGAGAGATTTCAGGCCCCTGAAAGAGGAGTAGCCTCCATTTTGCAGCACGCATCTCCAATGAGCAGAGAAGTTATTCTGTTTTCCATGCCCATAAATTCTCCTCTGCTGCAACCTTCTATTTGTGTAGGTGATTTTTTTTCTGTATTGCAGACACCTGTCTGCTTGGAAACATTTAAGCCACAAAACAGCTGTCAGACAGTAGCAACTTTGTTTACTACGAACCAGGGCTGGATTCAACCCAACAATGACTGAGAGGTGAGAGATTTGGTATCATCTTATCAATTTTCTGAGCCATCTGGTTCCAAATATGCAGTTTAACAGTGAAATATTACCAAGAAGAATCTAACAGCATTTGTGAAGTTTAAGACTAGAATTATCCTTCAAATGATAGATACAATCCTATAGCTACTATAGGATAGACACTACTCTATAGCATGCTTCAGGATCCCATGCATTTAAAATACAGCTACCATTCACAGTGAAGCAAAGATAGCTGTATATCGTTAAATCTAATGAAATACAGAACAATCTTTGAATATAAGTGAAATCTCATTTAAATATTTGATCTGATGTCAGAGTAATACATGTAAATCCACCCAGGATAAAGAAGTTAGTAAGAACATTCGTGCTAACTTCCATCAGAGTATTTCACTTTTCCTGCATGAAGTAGAAAGCATCATTTTGTGCATCATATTATCTGTGTGCAGTGACACAAACTGCAGCAGAGAGTTATAGTCTTTAAAAATTGAAAGAAAAAATTTAATAGATTGCTTCTATCAGTCTCACTGCCATAACAGCTGAGTGTCTGACAAACTCCAGCTTAGTCACAGAACTTCCTGCAAGGATATATCTTTTAGCCTTCCTTCTTCCATCCCACCTGCTACCCATTTTCGAAATGGAGAAATGAAGCACGGCACCTACCAAGCCCCGCTGATGATAGCACCAAAAATCTCTAGCAGAGGACTAAGCTGATTGATTGATAGATTTCCGCCTGTTCCAGGTTTGCATCCTTGCTGGATGATCATACACTGCAAGAGAAGGAAAAGTAGCATTCATTGTTTGTAGGACTCACACTTCCTAGTGAATTTGGAAGCTTGGACATCACACTGGGTATACAGTTCTGATAGTCATTAGGAGGCTCTGTTAAAGTCAATACAGATCTCGGAAGAGGAGGGCTAACCTCCGGATTGGACCCCTGAAAGAGTATTCTAACATTTTTTAAGATTTTATTTGAACTTTTAGTAAAATATTCATTCATATCCTGATCCTAATATAAAATTCTTTATTATGTGGGAGTACTGACTTTCAGGCTCTTGCAGTTTTAAAGTAGGCCAAAAGTTAGGTTTAAATACCCTGGAAATATTTTTCTAGTACATAATAATCAATCAAACATAAAAACTGAGCTTGAAAGTTAACGCATCTGTATGGATCAGTGCAATTTTTCAAAAATTAAATAATAACCAATTAACTAAGCTATGATAGCAGCTTTTTTCCCCACCTCATGTTTCATTTAGTTATTAAAAGTCATAATCTATACACCAACCAGCTCTCCAACTGGAATATATGGGAATGCTGCTTGCAAAAGGCTTCAAAACTGGACCTAAGATATCAGATTGTGCAGTTCCTTGCAGCTAAGAAATATGTCAAATGCTGCTCTCTGCTGTATCACATCCCTGACATTGGCTTTCAAGGAAAGATTCAGCCTGAAAACCCCTTTGAAGTGGAACAGAAACTTTGAAGGCAGCATCAGAACAAAATCACGTTCCCTTCTTCACATCTGTCTGTGCACTTGGCAGATGCTGCACACCAATAATTTAAATTAAGGCATTTTTCATTCGCAGGCTTTGTGGTAATTCCAGGGCATTTCCTCCATCATATTTGTAACCTATTCATTATATCATTTTACTGCATAATGAAGACAAATGCCAACAGTTTAGCAACAGATTTGGGTAATGACAAGATGTACAGTAATACAGAGTAATATGACCAGGCCTGCAAGTTCTAATTGAATATTTTTCTGATTCTGTTTCCATCAATCTTTCCTCCTGTTCCATTTTTCTAGCCATTTTACATGTCCCCTGCCCCCTTCCCCCTTCCCTCCTCGAAGTGCATGCTCACAGCTTTTTCAAGAAATAGATTCTGCTTCCACTGTGGAATCGGTTTTCTCCTTATCCATATACACTGCTTACTTGATGATGAGCCACTGAGTTTCTGATGGAGGAAACAGAACATAACGCCAGCACGGTACTTAATTGGTATGCTGGCCCATGCAAAGCTATCTGATTGCATTCAGTAACTGGCAGGGACAGAAAGCATTTCCAAGGGAAATAATATCTAGCTGCGAATGTGGGAATATGTGTGTAAGAACTGAACAGTAAACACCAGCCTTAATTTTAATATCTCACATTATGCAAAACTTAAAAAAGATGAGTGCTCTGATATTCAAGCAGACCCCTGCGGGATAGGAATGTTATCATAAGAATATTATAGAAACCAATGTAAAATATCCAGCTGCTGCGAGAGCTTTAGGGGCATCAGACGTTCTTGAATCACCATTTTCCTTCCACAGATGAAAGTATTTACCTATTAACAGCAGCAAAAGTGTATTATTTCACTGGGCCATATGACCACAGGCAACATCGCCTTTCCATTCAGGCTTTGATAGGTTAGGATTTAATGTTCTAAATAGCCCTTAAAAGCTGCAAGGTGAAAATGTAAAACCATAATCCAGCTCTAAATGGTCATTTAAAAAATGATCACCCCAAAGCTCAGGAGTGCCTTTATCTGTTTATGAGGCATTCCAGTTAAAATAGTTACACTAGGAATGTGGGGAGGACGATACCTATTTAATTTTATGGCGTTTTTCTCTCTCTACAATGATAAAAGGTGGCTGGGACTGCAGCAAGAGCCAAATTCTGTTCGCCTTATTCACACAACTAATCACATTGACTACAGTGGGACTGTTTGTGGAAGGGATTTGGCCTGAACTCTTACTGTGTCAATTATCTTTCTTTACAAGCAGGTTTCTCTTTTTGTCCTACTCTCCAGCCAAACTGTTACTCATACGTTTCCAGATGAAATGTGTGACAGACAACAGCAAAGATGTGAAAGCAACGAAAAGAAACCTCAATTCGCATTTGAGGGTTCAGATTAAAAACAAAACAAAACAAAAAGAAAACAAAGCATCTTGCTGACACATTTTTTTCGAGAATTGGTCAAGGAAGATTTACGCAGGACTGTTCAGACAATACCTGTATTGTTCATCCCTTAGAATTTACATCTACTTTCCCAGAAATGAGAAGGCAGGAAAGAATTTGTGATATTCTGAGACAGTTCATGTGCAAATCCTGACCTTCATAAAGAAAGATGTCCAAAAGTTTGCAAGTTGGGATTTTTTTGTTTTTCTTTTCTCTCAAGCAACACGTGTCAGAAAGAGAATTAAGAACCTATCTGGTCAGACAGGTAGTTTAAGCTTGGGCAATAAGTAAGCACAGACTGCCTGCGATGCACAGGTCATTATTTGAACCCTGCCTGATGCGTAGCCTGGTGAGCTCATGCTGAGAGCTTTTCACACCTGGAAGCAGCAGTCTTGGTCAACTCCTAGGTCAGGCACCTCCAGAAACACACTTGGCGCATGGGGCTGAGAGACGGTCATTGCCCTGGATTTCCTGGAACCGCTGCTGCTGTTGAAAAGGGCCTTTGCCACTTGAGACGGGTGTCCCCATTTCCTCAGCCTGGCTCCAGCTTCGCCTGCCAACTTCTTTCACGGTTGCTATTGAAAACAAAAAATCTGTTCTCCGATTCTGCCTTCAGGGCTCTCCACTAGTCCAGCATCTGTTTACGGAGGGTGAGGAAGAGGAGCGGGTTCACTTTGTGGGGTTTTCTCAAATTTTCTGTTTTTGAGGGAAGAGGGTTGTTCTGTCAACTTGTTTTTCAGATGGTGGCTGAAGAAACCTCAACACCCTGGGTAGGCTAGCTTCTTGCTAGATCTCTTTGCTAGATCCCTGTGAGAGGAGGGGATCTCAGGATCACCTTCCTCTGGGATATACCTCAGCAAGAAGGAAGAAGAATTTCTCTCTAAGAGCCCAAGCCTTCATCCCGCCTGAGAGACTAGAGTCTGACACAATGCCAGATCCTTTTTCTAAGCACTTGGAAGTAGTGCAAAGAGGGTTCAGGAAAGTAGCAGGTCTAGGAATTACCAGATTTGCTCTGCTTAAATTCAGAAGTCTTGATACCTCCAAAAAAAAAAAAAAAAAGGCCAAACTGAAAAAAATAGTTTATTATTTCCAGTGTATTAATATAATAATTTAAACATCTGTGATTACTGATTCTTCCATAAAAGATGTGTTGTGTATTTATTCGGAAGCAGGTCTCAGTCATCCTCAGACCCTGCGGATCCTTTCTTTCCTACAGAATAATAATGGGGAAGGGTACAAACCTTAAATAGTACTTTAGCATTGGAGATAATAGCAGCAAATTCCCAGCAAATGGCTAAATCTTCAATTTCCCATATTTAACCATTTGATTTTCTTCAGTGCTACACATTAACAGATGTGAGGGACAAAAGAGTTGATAAACAGTTCTACGCCCTTTGTGCCCTATTCTAGATGTGAGTGAATGCTGCAGCAATTCAAGATGTCAAGTCTAGCTGTCAAGGAAAAAAATAACAGAGATAAATGGTCACTCTGTCGCACAGCCATGCTTACTGCAGATTAAATACAAACACGGTATTCAGAGCCCTAACATTTGAATAGGTTACATTACATTGGTGAATGAAAGAAAGTTTCCCTAATTAAAGGATAAAGATGACAGCAACTCTTAGCGTACTTGTGTAATGCTTTTCTAGAAGGCAGAATTTGAGGGAGCTGGGATTTGTCTCAGCCAGGTATACCGCCCATTGAATTGTCTGGAATGCTTCCCCTGGTACTTTTTGCCAATTTGATCACCAGTAGCAAATTGGGTGAACTTTTGAATTTCAATGCATGAGACTTCTCACGCGTCAAGATGAGATAATTCTGCTACTTGGATGATTACTTTTGAAGGCAAAAGGCCAAAGTTTTCTCCTTGAACTTTACATATGAATTGATCAAGTCAATGCATTTTACGTAGTTTAAGGTACCTCCCTGCTCTGCCTAGCCAGATCAAGGGAATACAGTGGTAAAAAGCCATTTTCTTTCTACTTGCGGAACATATTAGCATTTGAGAGGAAAACAGCTATAAAAGACCTTATAAAAGTCTTCAGAAAATCCATTAATCCTAGACATTTTGTCCATAGCTCCTTGCAGTGTTATCGGAGTGTCTAGGCTGTTGACCTATAATCCATTAATAGGATTTTTAAGAGTTCTGTTATGGTTACTCTTCAGGAGATGAGCGAACAGATGGATAGGATGGTCACCCCCTTGCTATAACCTTTGCTTAACAAAGCTGATTAATTCAGTCTTTCTAGTTGATAAGGCATCAAGTGTGGCTTTGTCTACAGATAATTAAGTAAGATACAAGGCAGAGGGAGTCAGAGGAGGTGAACAGCAAAGTGAACTCTCTAGGCTAAATCCTAGAGATTGAAGACTAGAATCAGAGGTGAGGCAAATGATGCTGTAAATTATACATCAGTAACCCAACCTGAGTTAGCACAAGCCTATGTGAGCAGAAGCAAGGTACCATAACCTAGCAAATAAACAAGTAGTGACCAGGGCCCAATGCTATGAGCACTACCTGGAGCTCCCACATTATACCTTCACTGCAGCCCAGCATTTTACTCACTGCTCATTACACTTACTCTGCCAACACCTTGAAGCCACCTGAAGATAGTCCTTTTGTGTTAGGCAAGCTGAACATGTGCCACACAGCAACAGTCCCTATCCAGTGGAGTATATTATCTATCTTGCTCCAGGACAGGCCTGGAGCAAGCAGGGAAGCTGAGCAAATGAAACAGTAGCTGCAGATATCCTGCAAACCTCTACAGATGTGGTTTCTCCACTTGCTTTTTTTTTTTTTTTTTTCTATTTTGGCTCTTTCAGTGGGTCTGCGT